TGTTTCCTAATAGGAAAGGACACAGTAAATTTCACCTTGCATTGGGACACTCACCATCATTCTTTAACTTATATAGCGAAAAAGCCATAAAATTGATGTGGGGTTGATCGTACAGTTCTCCTTGATTCAACGATTGAACTATTGAATTATATGATATGTAAATTACTTGCCAATAAAACAGGGAAAAATTGCCCAGAGAGGAGGGAAAAAAAACAACAACACAGATGCAGGTTGATTTTGTTTTCCAGGTTGTTTATGCTCTTTTACATTTATTAAATCTAGAATTTTCTGTTCCTGGTTATATCATGTCCCCAATTCATAAAATAGGAAGTAATTCAAAGGTGCTTCATTGCTGTGTTAAACGACTAAAAGTTTTTCAAGAAAACAACTCAGAATCGTTGTAAAGGTCAATAGTAATAGTGATATTCTCAGCATCACTGTTGTAGATAAGAATACTGGAAAAAACATGGTTATCATCACTAATGAAAAGGGTCACTAACTTCATCTAGTTAGTGATTATTTTGAATGTAAGGAAGGCATAGATATTTATACTGGTATGTCACTACTATGCATATATAAAGGAATGGTACTTTAACATGAAAAGTCGCTGACAAGACTTTCAGAGGACACAGTGGTGTGCATTGCAAGTTGGAAACTAGATAGTAAATGGTAAGCTTCCTGATTTGGAGTGAGTGCTGAAGAAATAATGACAATTCTGAAAGCTGTCAAATTGTGACAACTGAATATGAATTTTTGCATCATACATTTTTTTTTGGAGTGGGAAGGAGTGTATTAATTCAGGCTCTGCTTTTTCTCACTGAAATATTCTGACTCCTAAGGAGTCAAAGAAGCCCTGGTAGTGTAGTGGTTACACCTCTGCAGGTGAAAGATGGGGCTTCCTACTCCTGTTCACAGTCTCAGAACCTCACAGGGGCAGTTCTGCCCTGTCTTACAAGGTTGCTGTGAGTTGGTACCTACTCAATAGAGATGAATCTGTTGGGTTTTTTTTTGGCGGGTGGGAGAGAAAAAAAGTGATTGATATGATTTCACCCAAACACTAATCTTCAGATGAATGAGGTGGGTAGGGTATTCTAATTTTCTTTCATCTTTATTTACCTGGAAGAATAATTGTGCAGTGAACATGGTGCTTTCTCAATGCATATTTGCTGACAGCATGTTACATTGCATTTATTTATTTTTTAATCATTTAATGGGGGTTTAATCCAACTCTTATCACAATCCATACATACATCCATTGTGTCAAGCACATCTGTACATTTGTTGCATCGTCATTCTCAAAACATTGTCTTTCTACTTGAGCTCTTGGTATCAGCTCCTCATTTTGTCCCTTCCCTCCCTGCCCTCCTCCCTCACAAACCCTTGGTAATTTATAACTTATTATTATTATTATTTCATGTCTTACACTGTCCGATGTCTCCCTTCACCCACTTTTCTGTTGTTTGTCCCTCAGGGAGGGGGTTATATGTAGATCCTTGTGATCAGTTCTCCCTTTCTACTCCATCTTCCCTCCACCCTCCCAGTATTGACACTCTGACCACTGGTCCTGGGGTTCATCTGTCCTGGATTCCCTGTGTTTCCAGTTCCTCTGTACCAGTGCATATCCTCTGGTATAGCCGGATTTGTAAGGTAGAATTGGGATTATGATAGTCGGGGAAGGAAGCATTTAAGAACTAGAGGAAAGTTGTATGTTTCATCATTGCTACACTGCACCTTGACTGACTCATCTCCTTCCCATGACCCTTCTGTAAGGGGATGCCCAGTTGCCTATCGATGAGCTTTGGGTCTCCACTCCGCATCCCCCTCATTCATAATGATATGATATTTTATTCTTTGATCCCTGATACCTGTTCCTGTCGACACCCACTTTGTTTTCAGCGATCATGCAGGGAAGGTGAACATCTTGGAATGCCAGTTTAATAGAACAAAGTGTTCTTGCATTGAGGGAGTACTTGATTGGAGGCCCAATACCACATTGTATTTATATACAGATATATTCTAGTAACACATACAAGGAGGTACCCAAGAAAAAACCCGAAATCACCCTACCCCAAAGCTATATATTTAAAATTTTTTATAAAACAACATCACTTTCAAAGTACTCTCTATTACACTTGATGTATTTGTCAAATCTGCAATTCCATTCTGGGAAACATTGTTCAAACTCGTCTGTTTGGATGGCTGACAGCACCTCCGTTATTTTTCTCTTGACCTGTTCTATGTCATGAGATCACTGTCCTTTCATGCCCACCTGCATTCATGGAAACGAAAAGAAGTCACCAGGTGTGAGATCAGGTGATTAAGGTGCCTGGGCCAAGAGAAGTAAACATTTTGTTCTTTTGCCAAAACTAGCTCATGGAGATGGCTGTGTGAGCAGGTGCATTGTCGTGGTGGCCAAGCCATCTGCCACAAATCCGGCCTTTTTTGTCGCACACTGTTACACAATCTTTTCAGAACCTCTCACCAGAAAGCTTGATGAACAGTCTGACCTGGTGGACCGAGCTCCAAATGCACTCACTATGGGCTGCCTTTTCCGTCCATTTGGGAAGTTGACCGCCGTCCAGAAAGAAGTTTGTCCTCAATCGACATTTCACCTTTTTGAAATGAAAGAGCCCCTCGTCCATGTAACTCTGTCCTTGTAAGCTGTGCTCAACATCACAACAGTTTCCATGGCATTTTTCCTGAGGAGGAAGCAAAATTTCATAACTGTTCTCTTCAATCAGCCATCACAAGAAAATCGAGGCTCCAGTGAAACTGCTTTTACGAAAAAAATGCACTGTGACTAGAGAGACCCTTCCTACTGGGTGCATTCACTCAGAGCAAGTTGCTTGATGGCGCTCCTAGCAGGAAAAATGTGCATTACGGAAACTCAGCCTGCCCAGCACAATTCTGGTTTTAGTTTTTGAAAACCCCCTTGTATGCTGAAAGTAAAATGCAGGCATGAGTAACTATAAAAAAGGGCTTTTTAAAAACAAAAGGGAAACAAACAAACAAAAAAACCAAAAGGAAAATAAAAATGTAAAGTTAAAAAGAGAGCAGTCAAAAACTAAGGAAAATAGAAGCAAAAGAAGACAAAAGAAAAATCATAGAAAATTATGCTGGAAGAAAGAAGCAGCAGAAAGAAGACCAGGCAAATAAAAGTGCAGGGGAGAAGAAAGAAACATGCATGGGACCAGGGTACTAGGTTCTGGTTGATGCTCTCTCCTATCCAGGAGGTCACAGGAGCCCAGGTTCTCCCTGGACTTCCTGCTGACTAGGAAGTTGTTAGCATCAGGGTGTCTGATCTCCAAAGGAGTTTGTGCCGTTTCCCAGGGGGCTGGGGTTTGATTGTTGCTTCATAGAAGGAGGTCCTGACCACCTATGAGTTGACAGGAGCCAGGCGCTGGTATGAAGAGGCTGAAAGCTAGTATCTCCAGACATGGGGGTGGCTGTGGGTGTGGTGTACATACACTTCATTCCTGATCCGTGAGGGCAAATAAATCACTTCCGGCTAGCAGGGGCAGGGCAGAGCATGTGTCAGCAGCTACCAGGTGGATGAAGGTCAATGCCTGCAGTGCTGTTAGATAGTGGCAGGGTGTGGGGAACAAGGAAAAGGTTGCATCCTTTTGGTCTCTAGCCACTGATTTGGGCAATTGTGTGGTTCAGGGCAAAACTCTCCCTGCCATCAAGTCAGTGCTGATTTGTAAGGGCCCCTGTGGGTTTACCAGATTTTGAAGGTTTGCAGGAGTTTCAGAGCCGCTTGTGGTTTCCAGCTGCTGACCCTTGCAGATCACAGCCCAAGGCGTAACCACTGGATCACCAGGGAACACTTCATGAGGTTGCTGTCTTGATTGAACCCTGCTTGCAAAAGTTCCGTATGGTCTCTCTGAGTCAGACTCGCTCTTAGTTCACCTGCTTCATGTGTCTCCTACTTGCTGCTTTTGTTGTTTCTTCTAGTAGAATTGCAGTATACTTTTTCACCGTTTTCTCTGTCGCTCAGTCCCAGGATTATTTTTGGGTTCCATTTCATTTTGTATCTCGTCTCATTTTTGCTGATGGTCTGGAGAGCATTTCTGCCTACTCCATCACCTTGCCGAAAGTCTTCAGAAATGATACTGATTCTGTTAGCATTATACCTGGTTATCTAACCCTGGTAGCTTTAATAATGGGGATGAGTCTGAGTTCTCAAAGAGTTTTCAAGAAGTGAGAACTATATGCCTTCATGGTTATAAATGATTGTTGCTCACTTGCCTGAATAAATGAAAATTGATCGAAATGTTTTAAGTAAAGTTATTTTCATCTTCATAATGAGCTGTCAGAAAATAGCTATTAAAATTTTAAAATAAATCCTAGTTAAAAAATTTTTTTTCGATCAGTGGTTCTCAACCTTCCTAATGCTGCGGCTCTTTAATACAGTTCCTGATGTTGTGGTGACCCCCCCCCCCCAGCCATATAGTTATTTTCGTTGCTACTTCATAACTGTAATTTTGCTACTGTTATGAATCAAGTGACCTCTGTGACAGGGTTGTTCGACTCCCAAAGGGGTTGCGACCCACAGGTTGAGAACCACTGCCCTAGATACTTTATTAAAAAAGTATATTTTAAGCATTTCAAATCTCTGATCAGGCAGTCTGAAAATCACTGGCCACAAGATTTATGACAAGTTTGTTGCTCCAATAATTTAAAAAAATTGTTTGTATTTCTAGTCTCTGAATTGTCCATAGAAATTTGGCTTTTGTGTAATGACTGTGATCAGATATACATACATTTCTTTATCTGGAGCCTTATGCCTTGTATTGATTGGAATTTATTTGGAGATGAAAAGACTTGCGTAGAAGTGGAATGGAAGCTACCTGTAATTAGTTGCAGTTCTTGAGAATGCCTGTATGCTCTGTCCTTACTCAGCTCAGTTCTGTGGATGTAAAGGCAGTATATAAATAAAGGTGCTATTGTGTACCTCAGTGCCCTTTCAACGTCTCTGTTTTCATGTTTTCTTCCTATAGAGACTAAGAAACGCCAGTGTAAAGTCCTCTTTGAGTACATTCCACAAAATGAGGACGAACTGGAACTGAAAGTGGGAGACATTATTGAGATCAATGAAGAGGTAAAGACACCATGTCAGAAGTAAAGCAGTCACTAGAATTGATGCTTTGCATTTTAGGAAAATGCTTTGAAAACCATTTTCTGTGAGAATTTTATTGTTCTTAATATAAAATTTAATGATTTTATGTACTAGTATTTTCTGCAGAAATATCTTTTATCTTTTTTATAAAGGAGGCTTTAAAACATCTTGTGGAAAAGTAGAATTAAAAGATAATGGAACTTTCCTTGAACTTTAGAAGCTCTCTTGTATTTCTGTAATGTATTTGAATTTATTGCCTTTTTTTCTTTTTCTATTTTGTTTTTGCCCCCACCCACCCACCCAATTCTTTTTATTTTCTTTTTCTATTTTGTTTTTGGAATTTGGAATTTATTGCCTTTTGGAATAAAATTTTTGTTTTCTAAAATCTCATGGCAATGTATGTAGCTAAGTAAAAAAATATGCCTTTTCTTTGATTCTGAGTTTATTAGCGGTGCAAAGCAGTGAAATAGGCAGCATTTTTACCTTATGCAAAGTAAAGAAATACATCAGCTGCATCTTTAAAAAATGCTTTCCAGTTATGATTCACCATATAAAAACAAAACAAAGCAACCTAAAGCATTTTACCCACATTTCAATGTCATAGAATGGGATTTTTCAGATATTTTAACAGTAACTTCACACATCTGCTGTTGTTTCCATTGATGTGAATATCAAAGAGTTTTTTTTTTTTGCAATCGAGGATCTCGTTTTCAAAGTGTACATATATATTATATTGCTGCAGAGGTTGATTTTTGTGTGTGTCCCAATACCATGTAGAATAGAGTACCACTAATGCTTGTGTTTCGATCAAAATCTAATGTGCTTATAACAAAAAGCAATTCTGTTATACTTCTATCAGTTTGGATATAAATACACTTATTGAGTTTTTATTAGGTCTAAATCAGTTTACTAAATATTTCAAATTGATTATACTTTTAAAACTTTTCACTGACCTAATGTCAAGAAATTTTACTCCCCTTATTACTTACGTATGAAGGAGCAATGGTGGAATTGTTTGGCAAGCGTTGAACTGCTGCTGATCATATGGTTAGCAGTTCAAAGCCAGCTGTTCTGCAGGAGAAAGATAGAGCTTTCTGCTTCTGTACTAGTTTCCAGCCGTGAGAAACCCATATGGGGTCTCTGTGAATTGGGATAGGAGCCGTGGTAGTGTAGTGGTTGCAGGTTGGGCTGCTAATCTTACAGTCAGCAGTTTGAAACCACCGACTTCTCTGTGGGAGAAAGATGACACTTTCTACTCCTGTAAAGTTACAGCATCCGAAACCCGCAGGAGCAGTTAGTTTTACCCCATCCTATAGGGTCGCTAGGAGTCAGAACTACTTGGTGGCAGGGAGCATGACTTGACGGTAATGTTTTATTGCATAAGAAGAAATTGAATCAATACTTTCTAAGTAATTCGCTGCTATCCAGTTGATTCGGACTCCTAGTGACTCTGTAGACGAGAGTAGAATTGCCCATGCGGGTTTCCAAGAATGCAAATCTTTATGGCAGTTGAAAGACTCATCTTTCTTCCTTTAAATCTCATTATAAACTGAGATTCAGTATTGCTTAAGAAAGTGAAATTCTTTAATTATCCATTTTTACTGTGAAAACATTGCACATGATTATCTGGTACTTTCATGAAGATTAGATACTTCACAGATGTCAATTGATCATAAGTTGTCATTGTAAATATTGTAACATGTTACTGCTATATGATTAAGTTCAAAGAAAATTAATTGAATCCAGTTAGATGTAGTTTATAATATATTTTTCCCTGGTGTGCTTTCTTATTTTTATAAAGGGAGTTAATTTCTATCTCTGCTTTTTTGTTCATTCTCTTATGTCGTCTAATTTTCTTGTAGGAGGAGGTGTTTGCTTAAAGTATCATTGCCTTTCATTGTTCTTGAATGTGAACTCTTTCAGGTGGAAGAAGGCTGGTGGAGTGGAACACTGAACAATAAGTTGGGACTGTTTCCCTCAAATTTTGTGAAAGAATTTGAGGTAACCGATGATGGAGAAACTCGTGAAGCTCAAGACGACTCAGGTGGGCCGATTGAACAGTCTAAGTGATTAAAGTAGACTTTATGTGTCCCAGTTGTCATTAGTGTACTTTTGTAAAATTGTCTTATTTGGTAACTGATCAAAAACCAAGCACGTTGTAGTTATGGTGATTCTGACACAGGGGACCCCTTGTGTTATGGAGTAGCATTGTTCTATCTGGGGCTTTCCGGCAGACTGCCTAGTTTATGTGGTCCTATTAACATGAGTTTGAACCCAGCCAAACCTTAGAAAGGAGGCTGAGCACAAACCTATTATGTAACTGGATGTGTTACCTTTCAGCTTCAGCTTATCTTGTTTTTAAAAAACAACCTATGATAGGGTCCTAAAGTGAGCTAAGTATATAGGCAAATAGTTTAATATTTTTCTTCAGATGGCTATATTTATGCTAAGTAACCCTTTTGTACTCTGATTAGAAATAAGGTGGTATATTTCACCTGATTTGCCCCCCCTCCCAATTAAGATATATAGTGTTTGGTTTTGCTGAGTTTATAAATCGTCTACATACTGCAGACATTTAAAATTTTGTTTTCTTAAGTAATAGGTTCTTCTTATTGCTTTCCATTGTCATACTGTATATTCTTAATTTCCTCTGTGCAGCTAAAATGGTATACCATTATTCTGACATTATTGTCCCTTAGGGCGCGACATCAAATTCACTTGAATCTCATTGTTCAAAGTATGACTGAGAAAAACCTTCTCCAAAGTCAGATTTAATTTCTGTTTTGTTTTTAAGAATTGTTTTTATTTAAAAAAAAAAAAAAGAATTGTTGTGGGGTGTAGGAATTAACCCTCTTTTCCTAAAAATAAGAATTTAATTTTTTTAATTATTTTATTATTTTTAATCATTTGAAGACTTGAATTTGTGGAGTTGGCTCAGCAGCAGTAGGTTTGTTTTTGTTATCTTGTTGCACAAGAAATAGCTCTTTTTTGTTGATGGAGAAGGATAGCTAGGGAGGATTTTTAAGGAAGTTATGCTGCTATTGATTAATATCATTTGGCAATTTATCTGAGCATTGGTCTCATGGTGGTAGGGACCCTTGTTTTGGTCATTTTTTACAGTTTTCGTTTGTTTGCAATAACATTTATCCAAAAGGGTTGTGAAAATCAGCAAGATCATTTTTAAGGATAATGCGTGGGACAGAGTAGATTGTATTTTAACTCTAAGTTCCATTTGCTTCTTGTAAATACTTAAATGGGAAGTATAAATATTCTGAAATAGTTCAAAAGGTATTATATGTTATTATGCTTAGAAAATGAATTTATAAGCCTTAATGTACGCAATAGTAAGGGATAATTTTTTTCTATATATAAATCATTTTACTGGAGGACTCTTAACACCTCTTACAAGAGTCCATACATATTTGTATCAAGCACCTTTGTACTTATGTTGCCATTATCATTTTCAAAACATTTTCTTTTACTTGAGCCCTTGGTATCACCTCTTTTTTCCCTCCCTTCCCTACCCCCTCCACCCTCATACATCCTTGTAAATTATTATTTTCATATCTTACATTGTTCACTGTCTGCCTTCACCCACGTTTCTGTTTTTGTCCCACTGGTGGGAAGTAGGGGTGGTTATACATCAGTTATTTTTGATTGGCTCTCTCTTTCTCCGTCCCGCCCCCCCCCCCCCCCCCCATGGTATTGCTATTCCCGTTGTTAATTTGTCCTGGATTCCATGTGCTATGTGTCGGAAGCTCTTATCTATACCAGTGTACATGCTCTGGTCTAGCTGGATTTGTAAGGTAGAACTTGAGTCATGGTGGGGGGGTGGGGGAAGCATTAAAGAACTAGAGGAATGTTGTGTGTTTCATCTGTGCTATTCTGCACCCTTATTGACTTGTCCCTTCCTTGTGATCCTTTTGTGAGAGCATGTCCAATTGTCTACAGCTAGGCTTTGGGTCTCCACTCCTACTCCTATCATTTGCATCAATATGGTTGTTTGTTTTGGGTCTTCTGAAGACTGATACCCAATCCTGTTGACACCTTGCGGTCACACAGGCTGGTGTGCTTCTTCCATGTGCGCTTTGTTGCTTCCCTGCTAAATGGCTGCTTATTTAACTTCAAGCCTTTAAGACCTCAGGCACTATAGCTTTTAATAGCAGGGCACAATCAGCTTTCTTCACTACATTTCCTTATGCACCCATTTTGCCTTCAGCGATTGTGTTGGGAAGGTGAACATCACAGAATGCCAGGTTATTAGAACAAAGAGGTCTTGCGTTGAGGGAGCATTTGTGTAGAGGGCCAATGTGGTAAGGGATACATTTTAGAGGGATAAAGTTTCCAAATAATAATTCTAAACTTTAGGTAATGTGATGTTAAACTTAATTAATAGGTGAGACCTGGAAATCCTTGTAGAGATTATTCCTAAACTTTATATGGTGTGTTTTTAGTTTTAGCTTTAGACTTTGCTTTAGACTTAATCCAATTACCCCAAATTTTGTTCTTATCCGTATTTATGGTTTGTTTGCCTGTGATTTATGTAGTTGTATTTGTTTTTCTCCAAATGTTTGACTTGAACTGGTGAAAAGTCAAGTAATGAAATGGTAGGAAACGATATACCGTATATACTCGAGTTTATGCCAACCCAAATTTTAGTTGAGGCACCTAATTTTACCACAAAAACTGCATTAAAAATGTGCTGAAAAAACTTGGCTTATACACGAGTATATATAGCATTTATATGTAGTCTTGCACCGATAACTCCCAAACTCAGTACCGTCAAATCAATGCCAATTCATAGCAACCCTATAGTACAGGGTAAAATTACAGTCTCAAGAAACTGGTATTCTACAGGAGTAGAAAGCCCTGTCTTTCTCTCACTGATCAGTGGGTTTTGAACAGCAGACCCTGCTGTTAATGATCCAATGTGTAATCGCTACAACACCAGGGCTCCCTCCTTGCATTGATGGAGTCTGTAAAATAGGATATCATGTAGTTTCCACATTGTGTTGGATAGCATAACTCAGTCTGCTCCTGCGTTTTCTTTAAGCATCTCAAATAAGCTTTGCTCCTTAGTGTAGAGTTCATTAAGGTAGTTGAGAGGGACATGCCAAAGTGTGTAGTCCCCAATCCATCTTATTAGCAATTTTTCTGTATCTGATAGAGGTTTCTCTCCAAATTTTGTTAACCATGTAACTCTTAGTGGGTTAACAGCTTGATGAATTTTTTATTACAGTTTTTGTGGATTGTTGTGACCGTCCAGTTTATCATGTCTAAATTGTAGACATTAGCATCCACGGATTTTTATCTACTGATCTTCCCTTTCTGTGTTGTTTCAAAAGCTTTTGTTTCACTTCCACATCATACTTTTGTGGCCACTAACACAGCCATTGACTACACTGTATTCAGTTGCCATGATGCGATATTTTTGAAAGAAAATTTAACAGAATAATCCTGCAACACTCAGATGTGTGATGCATGCCATTAGATGCTGCTGCCTCTGAGTTGAAACATACCCTGTTGTGTACCTATCTAAGCCACTAACTAGGCATTTGTGTAACTATCAAGATGTACTATCGGCTGTGTATATACCGCACCACACCATTATATGCCTGGTAGCCCAGTTGCTTTGGGTTAGCAGCCCAGCACTTAGGAGGTAGCATAAATCTGCTCGTACAATATTACTTAGTAAACTGTCCTTTGAGGAACTTCTGATGCACTTGTATTTCTTTTGTTTCACAAGTATTGGATATTCTGATTTTTGTTTCATATTAAAAGTTGGTATGAGTGAAATGATGTTTATGGTGCCTTGTAAACTGAACTCTTGAAATATGTACAAAATTTAAAGTTTTTGAAATTCACCAGAGTAAGATTTCTGATTTACATTTTTTAGTCTACTACATTTATAATTATAAACACTTTGAGCATTTTCTTCCACTCTTCAGCCTTACTTGATGTTTTAGTAATCTAGCTGAATTATATGTGCTAAAAAATGTACTTCCTTGCTTAACCTCTGTACAATAATAGTGCATTCTAAATCTGGACCTTTGTGATTATGGGTTGAAAAATCAGTGGTCGAAGTGTGCTATAATTGCTTTTTTTTTTAACTGCAATTTTTAGTCAGTAAGGTTCTGTGTGTGGATGGCAGTGCCAGGAAGTAAGTGCTTTATAAGGAATGACTACTTAGAACTTTAGTGAAGAAAGTGCATAGTTCTTTAAGTTTTAATCTTATGTCTTTTTTCTTAATCGTTTTATTAGGGGCTCATACAACTCTTATCACAATCCATACATACATCAGTTGTATAAAGCACATTTGTACATTCATTGCCCTCATCATTCTCAAAACATTTGCTCTCCACTTAAGCCCTCGGCATCAGGTCCTCATTCTCCCCCCCCTCCCTCAGGAGCCCTTGATAATTTATAAATTATTATTTTGTCATATCTTGCCCTGTCCGACGTCTCCCTTCACCCACTTTTCTGTTGTCCACTCCCCAGGGAGGAGGTCACATATAGATCCTTGTAATCAGTTCTCTCTTTCCAGCCCACTCTCCCTCTACCCTCCCAGTATCGCCACTCACACCACTGGTCCTGAAGGGATCATCTGCCTTGGATTCCCTGTGTTTCCAGTTCCTATCTGTATGTACCAGTGTACATCCTCTGGTCTAGCCAGACTTGCAAGGTAGAATTCGGATCATGATAGTGGGGGAGGGAGGAAGCATTTAGGAACTAGAGGAAAGTTGTATTTTTCATTGTTGCTACATCGCACCCTGACTGGCTCGTCTCCTCCCCGAGACCCCTCTGCAAGGGGATCTCCAGTGGCCTACAAATGGGCTTTGGGTCCCCACTCCGCACTCCCCCCATCATTCACTATGGTTAGATTTTCTTGTTCTGATGATGCCTTATACCTGATCCCTTCGACACCTTGTGATCCCACAGGCTGGTGTGCTTCTTCCATGTGGGCTTTGTTGCTTCTGAGCTAGATGGCTGCTTGTTTACCTTCAAGCCTTTAAGACCCCAGGTGCTATACCTTTTGATAGCCAG